TTTTCGGCAGCCATGACTTTGGACCCAGTCCAGAGTTTTGCTTCAGCTTAATTTATATCTAAGAGAATCACATAAGAAAATTGAAAAATATAATTCATCGAATTTCGTTCATTAAACCTATATTTTAGCAATATACTGTTGTCTCACTCAAATAAGTTAATAAATGTCCTCGCCAAATCTGGGTGACATGACGAGCGTAACTTTACGATCAACTTCTTTTAAAGTGAATCATTAAGCTATTTAGAACAATGTTAACAAGTTCATGAATGAAAATATTCTAGCGATTAAAAACCATTACCGCTTCATGAACAAGTTTTTGGGAACTGATATAATAAAGCGATCAACTAACCAAGTTATTGTTACAAATTCTTGCGAAAGAAATTAATCAATTAATGACCGTCTAATGAGTATTGAATGAATACTCGTAATTTGTCACTTATTTTCAATATTATTCGGAATGTGTGCGAAGGAGCCTTTGGAAGGCCTTTCTACATATATTCAAATGCAATCACTTGCTTGTTTGACCAAAGAGTTTGTTTCCACTAAAAAGTTTACCCATTTAATCTAAATATTTCGATCAAACCCTCAACTATAAGAGTCGAAAAAATTCCGCTTAGTTTTTCACTCATTCAAATGACATCGTATTTAATAAATACTTGAGATTATTCTTTCATTCGTCCAAAGCACTTATCATCATTAGTGTATGACATCATTTTTATGTTGTTGGAAAAATTTCAATTCCAAAAGAGAAAGCTGGGTAAACTTCGTTTGCTGTCACTTCGACTAGCTGCAAAACGAGAATTAATTTTTCCAATTGAACGTTCTCATTGGCATTCACATTTTGGTGCAGTTAGGTAGTTTTAAACTCTTCGTACAAGCAATGGCGTAGAATGATTCCATTTCTGATACAAACTCAATTTAGCGTGGTCAATTAACGAGGATGTTGCTCAGTTTGCCTATTTAAATCTAACATTTACAATGACGACAAAAGTATAGTTCAAGCGAATAGATTATGCAACCCCCAGAATATACTCATTGCAGTCGTTTTATTATCCATCGTCCAAAGGGAATAAATTAGACTCATGACTCATTATTCATTACACTAGCTGTGCAGGGCAGGTGAAACTAATTACTAATTCAGCAGAGTTTATCATTTAGTAGGATTAATAATGCATAATGTTATCCATTATCCATAAGGCAGAAATATTCTATAATGTATGTCAACCATATGTACGTTACCCAAGGATTGAGAAAGTTTCAACATCATGCAATTGTGAATTTACGCTTATCCCGCATTTAAATATTCATAACTAATAATCCTACAAATTTAATAAAATTATTTGGCGTGCAAATGTTCATATGAAATAAACGCAAAATTTTTGCCTAGTATGGGAGGTTTCAATATGTTTTGTTGGTTATTACGCTTCAGAGTAGAATAGTATAACTCCAGTACAGTCATAACAGTCAATTATCTTACTTTCTGTTGGCTGGTATGACTCCAGTACAGTCAAGGATACAGTTTGCCTCACCTGATCTGTGTTCCCTGCCCACTTTTTCGTTATTCATTTTAAAGTTTCTAATTTAGTCGATCTTTCTATAAAGCAGTTAAAGAGAAAAATTAATTTTTTATTATCCAGATAGTGACAATCTTTCTTTCCCGTAGCACGAGCTGAGAGCAGACGTAGCACTGATGTGCCTTCTTGCCAGGATCCGGACATGGTGGCCACACAAAAGGAAAATGTGCATCGCTGTACAGACAACGTGGCGCTCGTAACTTTGAGTGCATCTTTATATCAACTTCTATTTTTCCTATAATTACTTTTTTTGTTTTTACCGTTAATTAAGCCTAGTGATCAATGTTTAAGCATCTATAAAATGTATGTGCACCGATATATTACCAAACTTACATATATCTTGAAATATCTATGCTCTCTCCTACAAGTATATAATGCACATGCACAAAAACACTAATAAAGTTTTAGATTAAAATATTCATTTTCTTTGAGTGCATAATGCATGTGCATAAAAATAATACAAAACAACATCTAACGTAAAATATCTATTCTCACTCTCATAAATATAAAACGCATTTGCATAAAAATATTTCAGAACATCTAACGTGAAATATCTATTCTAACTCTTGTAAATATAAAACTCATTTGCACAAAAAAAATTCCTACATATCTAGCTTAAAATATGTACGGCTAAATAATTTCCATGGCTGAAATATTGCCCTGCACTTGACGGAAGGACTTCCCGAGCTTCACAGAATTTATGAGCGCTGAAACTCATCACAACTTTGGACGGCTTCCTTCAACTGCAGTCAAAATCCCGTACATAACACTTATATAAACAGACGTTTCGTTCTCGCTGGTTATTTCTTGAAATTTGCCATATTTATAAATATTGTTATTCGAAGAGGGATTATTTTTTTTAATTAGTGAAGAATTTATTACGGTTGATTTTCCTTCCTTTATCTCGAGCTTGTTTTTCTCTAAACCCGCCGCAGAGACGAAGATTCACTGTACAGATTATTCTATATGTCATTCATTACAATATTATATATTTATCATATATAATTTTATTCACTTCACTGTACATTATATTTCATTGTATTTCTTTTATAATATCGAACAACCTTTTCTAGTTTTGAGTAACGCAATCGCCCACTAGCTCGAAATGGCCTCTTTGACTGAAACGCTCGAAATTTCTTAACAAAAGCACTTTTTATTGTATTTTTATTGTATTTTATTGTATTTTTATTGTATTTTTGCTGTCGTTTTCTGTTATGAATAAATGTCGGCAATTATATTCAAAAATCGAAATAATTAAACACAAATTTCTCAAACTCCATGCATTGAATCTTGTTCCTTGATGGTTTAATACGGTCAAGAAAAAATTTCCCGATCACATTTGAAGGGGAGGACCGCATTTGAAATACCAATTTTATGTTTCTGACGTTCAGAATGGTCATTTAATTTCTCCAATTTTTCATTAGTCTGAACCTCTTCCTTGTCTTTTTGCTTATGAATTTCGATGTCTGTAGGCAATTATGGGATAATTTCCAGCAAATTAATTTGCAGCCTCTATGGGAATATGATATAACTGAACAATCCTATTAAAAATAAAACGTGGCGCCTGATTCGGAAATAATCATCAGTAACATGTTAAATTCATCAAACTGCTGAGTGTAATCGTTTGAAAATAATGCATAATCATCTTTCTGTCACCCATCGCTATGTTATGGATATCAATATTGAATTTTAAGTTACATTTTAAGAGGCGTTAAAACTACCGAATGCAAATTTGTGTTAACTTCCATCCTTTATTTCGCAGTAAAACCTAACGCCCTCCCTTATCCGTGAATAGACAGTTTTATTATTGCAGAATTGCACTAACTCACTCACAGCCAACTGAAAAAAAAATCAATCGATGTGTACGTGAAATGTAATCACAAATACGTGCTTGGCATTGTCGTTTGAAAGATTTAGTTCAAACATTAAAAATAATTCAACCTTGAACAAAAAATATAAAAATTAATTTATAAGGCATTTGACATGTTTTACTCGCAACTATAAATTTTTTTATGATGAACTTGAAATGCTAATCATGCTGAAATTTTTTGGGCTTGATAGGTTCAGTTAGAAACTTAAAAATTATTTTTCGCCGAACTTAAAAACAAAGTTCATGTGGCGCTTGATTGCTTCTGCCCGAAACTTAATAATTATTTTCAACTGAACTTTACATATCGATGTTAAACTAAACTTTACATAAACTTGAAGTTTAGATGACATATTATAGACAATTGTGTTCCAAATCGAATGCTTGCTTATGCAAAATGCGTGAAACTAAGGAGTGGAATTTGTCAAAATTCCATGACTTGAATTGTTTTTGGGTGTTATCAGTGAGATAGAATGGTTTAGTTACCTATTCATTTTTCAGAAAACCTCCACTTTCTGTGATATGAATCTTTACCGGGTAAACATTTCTAAAAAGACTCACATGCTCTGGAAGTGAATATATAAGGAAAGAGGATTATGACGTAAAACATATTGGAGGGATATAGATAATACATTTAAAGTCCAGGTAACATTTAGACTTCAGCTTAACATACTTTCATTTTACTCTCGTTTCATACACGAATAAAATATTTTCCGTCATTTGAATAAAATTTATAAATAAATTATTGTAATGTGAGAAGACGTCCTGCTAAAAAGGCAGTGAAGTGACGTGATGCCCTAGCAGACGTCCTATTAATCCAAGGTGCGCTGTTGTTATGGAAATCACTGTATAATTATATAATATTGTAAAAAACTATTATTTGACAATTAATTTTAGCACTGTCAAATTGAGCTCTTGTTAAAACTATACTAAAACATTGTTATCTATAACATTGCTATAGCAAAGCATGCTTATTAGCATTAAAACTGTAATGCATATTCATTATCGTTTACACTCAAAAAGTATAGATTTAGGAGTGATTTAAGTTTTGATTTAAGAATGATGACACTCAAATCAAAGTTCAACCAGCATCCCCACAGCAACACCAAGTGTCAAGCAGGATGCATTGATCAATGCACTCAACTGCGCATGACAACAGACCGCTTGTATGCTGCGCTCAACTCTGATCCTATTGAGAGAATCCTATATATAGACCAGGATACATCAGTTGAGACCTGCACTTGTCTTGAATCATTCTCACTGTGTGCGTGCTGTGTGAGCGTAGGATAATAGGATAAATATTTTTCTTATGGAATCGTGCATAAATATGATTTGTAGTGCTTCTTAAAATAAAACATTTCTAATTGTTCAATATTTCTTTTGCCTTAACATGATAAGTCTTACTTGGCAAAATAAAATATTTCTACTTCTTTAGTGAAATATGTTGATTACAAAACAGGGAATTTCGGTTTACATAAAATTTAAGAAATGGCGTTGATACATGACGGATGTCTGTAACAAAATATTTCTTCATACGTGATCTGAATAGCAATCAAACGAAACGTGATTTCTCGAGACTTTTTCACGCTGATCCAAACTACGCTGTTCTCTTTACAACTCTCACGTCGATTTGTCTTGAAGTTTTAGAATTTCTCTGGCCACAAGAACAATAGGTTTTGTTGGTTGCTATGCAGACACCAGTTTCGCTTCCTGCTGCAGTGCTTTAATTTGAGTTAATTATTTTCCTTGGAGATGTTAAATTTATGAATCTGTCGCTAATGATTTATGAATTTCTTTATGCTTTCTAACGTATCAAAGTTTTATTTTACCGCAAAGTTTGACACTCGCTCGTGAAAATTCAGACGATGGAGGCTTCGTTGGAAAATTTGTAAGTGTCATTTTCTTTCTTCCGATTACCGTAATAATTTATCACCTTCACGCTTTCTTTGTACAATTTATTCATCCATACTAATTGCATTCTTTCCACAATTTTCACCTATATTCTTTCCTTTAAACGCTACTTTTCAAAATCAGTTTTTAAATCGACTAAATAGTGCTTGGTGTGCCGTGAATATAGCCTTTATATATGGTCTGTATTAATATATTCAATTAGCTATATGAAACGAATCTTCGCTTTGTGTGTGCATTAAATGTTAGCCATATAATAATTTATGTTCTTAGAGCCCATAAACTGGCATGGAAAATTTACGGTCGAATTAGTTTGCACAATCAACTAATTTTATAATGTTTAAATCACTGAGTGTTGACGCTTCACTGCTTGTACCTGTCGATATTTGTATTTTGGAACTTTCAATATTTATCTTCTTGTACCTTTCGATATGTGTATTTTTGTACCTTTCGATATTTGTCTTTCTGCAACTTCCAATATTTGTCTTTTTGTACCTTTCAATAGTTGTCTTTTTGTGCCTTTCAATTTGTCTTTTTGTACCTTTCAATATTTGTCTTTTTGTACCTTTCAATATTTATCTTTTTGTGCCTTTCAATATTTGTCTTTTTGTGCCTTTCAATATTTTTTTGGTAACTTTCAATATTTATCTTTTCGAACCTTTAATTATTTTTCTTTTTGTACCTTTCAATATTTTTCTTTTTGTACCTTTCAATATTTTTCTTTTTGTATCTGTCAATATTTGTCTTTTCGATATTTGTCTACAAACAAATGCTTGGCCATTGAAGCCTAGTGCTTGTATGACGTTTTGAATCATTCAACGGGATAGCGCGTGGGTACCTGATGAATTAAAATATTGTTAACTATCAAACAGGAAAGTCATTTTATGTATTGAATTAGGGGCTCTCACGAACAGAAACACTCGTTTTCTGGAGTTTGCGTAATTTTAAATCACTGCTCTGAGGAGCCTAGTGCAAGTGAGGTAGTTTGTCAAGAACTGCAGTTCAATCCATGCAGTAGCAGTTATTGTAACTTTATCCGTGGTTATATTGACCACAATGAACTATAAACCGGAATATAAGAGTTCATTCCTATTGAAATATTGAAGTCCAAAGGGACTCAGAATGATGGAGTTGCAATACATTAACGACACGACAGTGCGGGCCGTGTTGCATTAGATTGTAACAAGACTTGTATTGAAGTTACGTTACATTAACGACACGGCAGTTCGTTCCGTGTTACATTAGCGTGTAACACGGCGCGTTTTAGTGTTACGTTACATTAACGACACGGCAGTGCGTTTCGTGTTACATTATGGGGTAACACGGCAAGTGTTAATGTTATGTTGACAGTAATAAGTGACGTGTTACAATAGGGTGCTACACGGCACGTGTCAATGTTACGTTGCATTAAGGACACGACATTAAGGTGCCGTGTTACATTAGAGCATAACACGGCACGTGTTAATGTTACGTTACATTAACAAGACAGTGCGGGCCGTTGTTGCTCAACCGAAACAGTAACTCAGTTGGCCCCACCGTTACCTCACTACCCCCCCCCCCCCCCCACAATGAGGACTTATAGTCTTTTTCGTAAACACGTCACAGGGCGTTACCGTGAACACACAAAGTGCCCGAGAAAATCAATGTCTCGTAAGTCTCGAAACATCTCGCATGACAATTTTGGAGTCGTAAGCTTCACGAGGCATTTCAATTTCATCTATATTCAGAAATAAATAAATTTTCAGCAGTACAGTCAGTATGTGGAAGCAATTCTATCTATGAATAGCATCTATCCTATATTCTACTTGTAAATTCTTTGTGATACTATAATTTAGATTATTTCGTGCTTTACAGGTATCGTGATCACCGCATGAAGGCGGAGGTGAAAAGACAGTCGCTTGAGCAAGAGCTGATCACAGTTGGAGGCGAAAATATTCTACTCACAAATCAGCGACGACAAGTGTTGATGTTGAAGCCTACAGACCTCCTGGTGCAGCTCAGACAAGGCAAACTGTCTGCCGGGACTGTAGTGGAGTCCTACCAAGCTAAGGTCAGATTATTTTTACTTAAGCATGTCAAAGTGTTGGTTGGAAATTAATCTACTGAAATTCATCTAAGCCAATGCGAGATTATTCCTTCAAAAACATGTCTGTCTGCTGTTATTGTACAGGAATTCTATTAAGTCTATTCGTAGCAAAAACTGTTGCTGAAATTATTGTAATTATCTGTTGTGCCTGCGTGGTACCGGACTTGTTCCACGCAAAGATAGGTTTACTATTTGACAACTGACTGTACAGATGTTTAACTGACTGTACAGATGTTTAACTGACTGTACAGGTGTTTAACTGACTGTACAGATGTTTAACTGACTGTTCTGATGTTTAACTGACGGTACAGATGTTTAACCGATTGTACTGATGTTTAACTGACTGTTCTGATGTTTAACTGACTGTACTGATGTTTAACTGACTGTGCAGATGTTTAACTGACTGTACTGATGTTTAACTGACTGTACTGATGTTTAACTGCCTGGCCATGCATAATGGCAACGCATATTTTGACCTCGAACCAATTTTTAAAAACTATGTCTTTCAATATTGCTATCGATGAAAATCGAAAAAAAAATTCAACTCATTCTGTGCAATGTTAAATATTCGTGGGTGACGCATTTAAAGATTATTTCATTCAACATAATTTCTACAATAATTGAAATTTTCGTTTCACTCCTAGTAGCAGCTCATCTGATAGTTTGTTTATTTTCCTCATAACCTTTTCTGCAGACTCGATTTCACCGACTATCCTGAGTTACGCGTACTGACTTTTGTGAAAATAATTTAATACCAGAGAGTTCATTGTTAGTTAATATAAAATCAAAGGAATTGCGGAATATTCTTTCTATTTACACCTCATTTTAGTTACTAAAGTGAATTTTCAGGTGAATTGAAAGTGTTCCAAGATTCCAATAATATAGCTGTAGTCAGAAATTTCTGTGTCTTAGACTTAACGCAGGCTGTGTTGGTGTAGCTTTTTTCAATAATCTTTAACAATTCCCGAGAATACTACAACAACATGAGTTCGAATGTTAGAGAATCTAAATAACGTTTTGTAACATAGAATAAATAACCATTCGAATTTAATTTAAATAATGGTCAGCTTTTTGATTATGATCCATTATCATATATGATAATATTTAATAATTATTATTTCATGTTATTCGTATGTGCTAAAGATCTGTTCTAACTCAAGGTGTTCATTTTTCAGGCCCTCGAAGTAACCAAACGCACCAACTGCATTACGGAATTTATTCCAGACGCTAGGGTGAGATTTGCCGACAAATTCAAGCTGATTTTTTTTAATTTGGCTTTTGTCACTTGCGGAAATTCAATTCTACAAAAGTCTTTGTCACTTAATTTACTTTTTCAATTGAATTTTCTAAAAGTCTTTGTCTCTTGTGGTGACAAAGGCACTCTCCAGCCCGATCTCTGTCAGAAGAGCCACGTAATTGTTAGCAGGAGTGCAAAATTTTATGTTCGCTAAGAATTCAGTTTGTACAGCGTGACTGAATATTTCATTGATTATTTCTTCAAATTTCATTAAAAAGACTATGTGTAAGGAAAATTTGTTGTACAACTAGTGTGCCGAAGTTCAATTAAATTTACCCTAACGATAATATTTGTTCAAGAATTGACATGAATCGACAATCAATATGATTGAAACCATACATCACCACGAATCTGGGAATAAAAATCATTTTGATCAAGGAATGTAACTTCTTGAACGTAGATTTTGAAGAAAATGCAAGTGAAAATGCTTTACCTATGAACGTGTCAGCACTGCATCCAACGTATTGAGTGGAATTAGCTTAACGGATATTGTTCGGGTTAAGGATTAATGGATGAGATCACGAAGCATTGAGGGAACGAAAGATTTCAAGGATAACCACGTACCTTGTAAATATTCATTTTAAGGGTAAACACGACTTGTTAACATCCATATTAAGGATAAACACGTCTGCCCTGCACGAGCTGATAGGGTTTATTTATCCTGCACTAGTTGCAGACATGAGCTGATAGTGTTTAATTATCCCAACATGTCACAGGCATGGGCCGAGGCTCTAGACAAGCTGGCCCCAGACGAGAGACGTGCCCTGCACGGGCTTCCCGTCAGCGTCAAAGACAACGTCATGGTCAAGGGCTTGGACTGCACGCTGGGGCTGCTCAAGAAGGTGGGTCAGCCCGCCCCTGTGGACGCAGATGTCGTCGCGGTCCTCAAGGAGCTGGGGGCCGTGCCCTTCGTGAAGACCAACGTTTCTCAAATCTGCCTCACGTTTGTACAATCTATTTTTATATGCGATGGTTCTACGATTGTGAGATTAGTTGTTTTTTTAAGCTTAGCTTTTTAGGGGGGCCTAAGCTTGTGGGATAAGTTGTTTTTTAATAACTTATGCTTTTTGTGGCTTAAGCTTGTGAGATTAATTGCTTATTTTAGCTTAGCTTTTTTGGGGGCCTAAGCTTGTGAGATTAGTTGTTTTTTAAGCTTTGCTTTTTTAGGGGGCCTAAGCTTGTGAGATTAGTTAATTTTACGCGTCTCACGCTCCATCAATGTTGTCGATGAAGACTGAATGAAGATTGAATATATAAATTTGAGCACTGTGCTCGATTTAAACCTCACATAATTTAATGCATAAGAAAGGTCAAATATATTTCAAAAATTTGAGATTTTTACTGATATGCAGGCCAGGATGCTCCAACCCTTTGTGGGGTAAAACTATTCATCCACTCGACCCTACGCGATCTCCTGGAGGCTCTTCTGGTGAGTCAAGTTTTTTATAAAGCCTTTGATGCTTACGTTGTGGATTATTTCGTTCCGGAAATTATATGTGACTGACTGGTGGATCGCAAAATTATTTGCAACATAACAATCTCGTTCTTTTGATATGGTTAAAGTTCCATACATGCCCATATCGTTCAGGGGGCAAAGAAGCCTCATCTCTGAAGAAGGGCCACTAATTATTATTGGGAATATCAGTACATATTATTTTCAATATTGATAATCTGACTCTTATGCTATGATTTAAGTTCCATACATTCCATATCCTACAGGTGGCGAAGGAGCCCTCATCTCTGAAGGGGGATCAGTGTTCGGTCTCGGCACGGACATGGGCGGCAGCGTCCGAGTTCCGTCCAACTGGTGCGGGCTGACGGGCTTCAAGCCCACGTCAAAGCGGATTTCCAACGTCGGAGTGGCCAACGTGCCTGGTCCAGTGGGGGGTAAGAGCTTTAATGCACTCGAGCTTCTGCAAATTTCTAACGAGCAAACATGAAAATTAAATTTCCAGTATTGCAGTTGCCAACGTGCCTGGTTCAGATCGAGGGAGGCAAGAGCTTTAATTAATCTGCCCGCCCTTATACTAATTTTTAGGGAGCAAGCCTGTAAATTCAATTTCCACCATCGGAGTGCTCAACTTGTCTGATCCAGTGAGAGGTCACACGCAGCTTCAATTTACTCGTATCTTTTCAACCATTTAGCAAATAAGCATGTAAATTCCATTTCCAAAAGTCAGAGAGTTGGTAGTTTCCTCCTAAAAGAGGGAGACTGGTTTATCTCAGATAAATTCCATTCAGAATTTATTGGTTAGAGAAGCATGGATACAAGTATCCTACATATAGCGCCACAGCTTAGTATCCTACATTTAACTTCGCGTTTTCCCTTACACATTGTCTGCAGTATAATGGGATAAGAGCAAGATTTGGAATTCATATTTATCGTGAATTAATTTTTTATTTGTAGCCTACGGAACAGTGGGCATGATTGGTCGTGATGGCGCCTTTGTAGCCGAGGCAGTGAAGGCAATTTTCTCCAGCAATTTCAACGCCCTGGATCCGGAGGTGCCGCCTTTGCCCTGGAACGACAGCGTCTACCTGTCCAAGAAGGCCCTCCGTGTCGGATGGTTCGACTCGACAGCCCTCTTCCCCAGCACCCCGGGGGTGAAGCGTGCTGTGGCGCAAGCCGTGGCGGCCTTCAAGGTTAGTGAAGCGCGCTGTGGCGGCCTTCGAGGTTAGTGAAGCGCGCTGTAGCGCAAGCCGTGGCAGCCTTCTAGGTTTGTGAAGCGCGCTGCGGCGCAAGCCCCCGGCCACTAAAGATTATTAACCGAAAAACCCCGACTCAAGATTATTTTTTGGATAAATTTATCTATGTTTTATTGCAAATCAAAAGGAATATTAACCAGGGAAGTGGAATAAATAAATAGAACAGTACTTATTCCAAATAAAGGCATAGCCTCAAAATAAAATTGTTTGCTCGTGGATTAACTTAGCGTATTTCAAGAAAGCCACGATACTCTGAAAAATAAATCAATAAGTTCAAGAAATCATTATTATTGGTAACACTTTCAATGTAAAAGTTTTTTAGCATTAAACATGCCGTTGATTTTTTCGGGATTTTATCCCTTTTCAAACAAGGGTTGGATAGGTTCAAATCGCAAAATCAGGAATTTCATCTGTTCTGCATAAATCAATTAAATGCATTTAATCATTTATTTTATCTCCGAATTATATCTTATATAAGGGAAAAGTAAGGGTATTATATCTTATAAATAAATAAGGGTAACTGTTATATTACCTTCACATGAACAAAACTGCGTTCTGGCTCCAAAACCACGGCACGATGATTGCTTTGGTTTCTGGATGCTACTGCTAATGATGCTGCCAGTTAATTGTCGTGCAGTAGACAAAAGTAATTCGTTTTGCTTTCTGTATGCTACTACCACACAATAATGTAGTGACGCGGCATCTGCAAAGCGACGGTCGCACACTTTTTTTCTTATCAACGCATTACTCGGAGCTGAAGTTAAACATGAGCGTCGATTACTAAGTTGAACACTTTTCGAAGTTCTTAACCCACCAGAGAATCAACAAACCATCGATTTAGCTGCCTGTTTAAACATTCGTGACTGGACGTGGTTACCGTGTGGTGGACTGTGAAGCATAGCCTCTAGATGCACCTCCAGCGCTGCAGTCCACCACTTTTTCAATGCCAGTATCATGAATTAACTTAATACCTCTGTCGACGGTCATGAACGGGTGCGGCTACCGGACAGTGGTCCTAGAGAACCAACCACGAAGATAGTTCTGCTTCCGGCAGCATAGTTTTGCTCTGGATACTGCAATATTGATCATTTCTATAGGAAATGATCAATTAATTATCATTTTAATATGAATGATCAACATTTGTGGGAAAATTTGGAGAAATAAGCACAATTTTTGAGAACTTCCTGACAGCGTGGAGAACTGATGTACTTGATATCCTCCTATGTCCTGTAACTCCCACTCCTGCAACCTTTCTACTCTGTTCCAGGTTCTTGGCCATGAGGTGGTGCAGTTCACCATCCCCAAGGCTGCCGAGATGTTGAAGATCTACTTGAACCTCTTGATGGCTGATCACGGGGAGCTCGCCAAGTCTCTGCTGGACGGAGAAATTTTGGATGACGAGTTGAATTGGTTCATGGAAATTTCAGCTGGGATGCCTCACGATGAGAGAAACAATGCAAAACTTCGACGAGAGTTTGGAGACTTGGCGGTTGAATATGATTTGGGTAAGTTGTCTAGTAGATCATTATAGCACAGAACACATCACTCTACGGGGGAAATCTGTGTAGATTAGTTACTTTCCAAGCAACGGAAGGTTTTAAGGAGGCCATCATTTTTCAATCACGTTCCACAAGAGCACAGAACAGGTACAGCGAAGTTATGTGAGACCTCGCCGTTTCAACTTTCTTCCAAACGAAATCGAAGCTTGAAAAAGTCCAAATAATTGGGACTGTAAGGTTCAATTCGTTTGGATTACATCTCAAACATTACTAAGGTCAATGGAGGTTGGGAGGTACTTTTTTCGGTCAATGGAGGTTGATGGTTAAAAGATCCGTTACACCAATTCTTCCACTTAGCGGTGCGCTAACACTTCCACTGGGCGATGCCCAAGGAAGTATTCAGTCAAGTTTGAGCTCTCGGAACAAACATGAAGTAATCACCAACTTTTTGTCTTCATTTATTCCACTTGTTATAAAATGGAACCCGTTAACTGAAATTATAGTTTTGAATTTCTCTAAAAGCGTTTCATCAGTCTAATTAAATGGATTTAAATTCACTGCGCGTTTAATTAATGTTTCGGTGCATTTATTGTATTGGTGCTTGTAATTTGGATTTCGGTGCATGTAATTATAATTTCAGTGCCGGTCATTATAATTTCAGCGAATGTAATTAGAATTTCATTTAATGTAATTATAATTTCAGCACATGTAATTTTAATTTTAGTGCTTGCAATTATAAGTTCAGTGCAACGTTGTTAGAATATCAATCGAAATTTTACTAAAAACCTTCTGATAGAATAGAAAACCTAGAAAAAAAATACGATGAAATAAAAATATTGTCGTTTTTACTTTGTTTCTACAGTGGAATTGGCCACGATATCTGATTTATGGGCCAAAATTGGGGAAAGACGCACAATTTTCGACAACTTCCTGAAGGCGTGGAGAGCTGCCGGGCTTGATATCCTGCTATGCCCTGTAACTCCCGCCCCTGCTACAAAGGCCGAACATGTCGGCAAAATATCATGTAAGTCAGAAATTCAAACATCTGTGATAATGATAATTATAATATTCCTCTAATAATGATGATAATAGAACCATTTCAGCTTTAACTAGGTCTCGTTTTCTTGTCGCCGATTCTCAACCACCCGGCCAGCAGGCTGAATGCTATCAGAATTTTCACAACCAGTTTCGGGTCTCAAACCCCTAATTCCAAGCTCCTAACTTAGTGATTTCATAATTCACTTGGTCATCACGAACTCCATCTTTACTGTAGTAATTAATAACTCAGAGGTAATTAGTCATCTTTAATAGTAGTAATAATTTATAATGATATTAATTATAATAATTTATTATTCATAACGTCTGTAATTTGAAGATAAAGACTGTGTTGAGTTGGCGTGCCCATGTGCTCGCACTCACGCAGCGTCACGTGGTCGAACATGTTATTTACAGTTTGACAGTTTGACCTCAGTCTGCACAAATGTTAGCGCGATATTACTCGACCCAAAATACGGTCTGGCACTCCAAATCTAACTTCCACAGTTACAATTTTGCACTCTTTGTAACTGCTCTAGTTACAATTCCCTCTCAGTCTAACTGCTTCTGTTATAATTCCCTCTCACTCCAACTTCCCCAGTTACAATTCCCTCTATGTCTAACTGCCCCAGTTACAATACACTCCAAGCACATACACTCCTAGCAGTTACAATACACTCCAAGCCCCCTCTAAAATAATTCCCACTCTGCGTGGCTGCCCTTTCAGTCTAACTGCCTCAGGGAGCAGAAATTGGTCAGGCATGGCATGTTTTAAGGCCAGCAAAAATGATATTGATAAATATCATAACATATGAATAAATAAATACAAAAAGTCGGGCATACCCGAAATTTAAGTGCCTCGCCAAAACAATAGAATCTCACTCGACCGCGTTGCCAAAATTGTCTGAGTAGCCTCATTTGACTGAGTAGTTTCACTCGACCGGGTAGTCGCACTCAAAATAGTAGTCTTACTTGAGTCGGTAGTCCCACTCGACTGGGTAGCCCCACTCGACTGGGTAGTCCCACTCGACTGGGTAGTCCCACTCGACTGGGTAGTCCCACTCGACTGGGTAGTCCCACTCGACTGGGTAGTCCCACTCAACTGGGTAGCCCCGTTAAACTAGGTGGTCCTACATATTCCTCTGTAACGCGAAGTATCGTTTTCGTTGTAAAGACACTCTGTGGACGAAAGGGTTGATGAGGTCTAAAACTTTCTGGTGACGAAGGGGCAGAAAAGTCATCGTTTTTTCTTGCAGCCTGCCTCCTGACGACGATGCTCTTCAACCTGCTGGACTGTCCAGCCGTGGCTGTGCCAGTCACCCATCAAACAATGGATGACGAGAAGAATATCCAGGATTATCCAGTAACCGATTACATCCACGGCATATTCAAGCAGGTGTGACCTTAAATAACATAATTAGCTGAAATTATGACTGTAGGAACCGCCCGTTGAAAAGCAAAAATTGCAATCCGATATTAGAGCGTAATGTAAGTCAATATGTAGCATTTTCAAATGAGTTTTGCCTGTATATTCTATGGTAGCACTTTAAATCCTCTTAATTTACATGGAAGTTACTTGTATTTACCTATGCGACCTCAATCGTTGCGGGCAATTGGTTAGCACGTAACATTTCTCTAGATTAATCTCAAGCCCTGCCTCCCCGCTAAAAATAGGATGAAATGTATGTTATTATAACTTTAGCAGTGATCCTGGAATATGCATTGTAGTTCACTTGGGCCATTCTCAGGGTAATGCCTCAAGAAGTTCATTATTTACTCATAAGTAAACAAATGTTGATAAATTATGAGCATGACGTAAGACACACATTAATGAGCAGCCTGTTCAATTGTCACTAGCCTCTTACTGTAAAGAATAAAGTTTTTGTATTGTATATTGAATGTTGGTGCAGTCCGATTTTCGTCATGACGAGAATTTTCTTGCATAAATACTCAATGCCTATAGCTTTGGTTACTCATTAGGTTTATATGCTTATATAAAGCGTAGCTGCCTTGATTCATCGGCAATTTCCATATAAAGCCGGTCATTCGAGTCCTTCGCAAAAGATCATTCAAAACAAGTTTGCCAATCTTCCGCCTTCCTGAACAGCAACGATTTAATAATTTTTTGTACCCAGGACGCAACGAACGCCGTGGGCCTGCCTCTAGGCGTCCAGCTCGTGGCGCTGCCATATTGCGAAGAACTGCTGTGCCGGGCTCTAGCCGAGCTGTCCAACTTCCTCAACTACAAATGCTGAACTGCAGCAACTGCTTTGTAGGGCCCTAGCCGAGCTGTCCAACTTCCTCAACTACAAATACTGAACTGCAGCAGCTGCTTTGTAGGGCCCTAGCCGAGCTGTCCAACTTCCTCAACTACAAATACTGAACTGCAGCAACTGCTTTGTAGGGCCCCAGCCGAGCTGTCAAATTTCCTCAACTGCAAATACTAAACTGCATGAGCTGCTGCTGCTTTGTAGGGCCCTAGCCGAGCTGTCCAACTTCCTCAACTACAAATACTGAACTGCAGCAACTGCTTTGTAGGGCCCCAGCCGAGCTGTCAAATTTCCTCAACTGCAAATACTAAACTGCATGAGCTGCTGCATGTGCCGTGCCTTAGCCAGCTGTCAAACTCTCTCAACTACTAATACTTAACTCCCGTAGTTTATTATAGCTTTTTCAAGAAATATTTCGTAAATATCATGGCTCCATGGTTCGGCATGCAGACGTGAAACAAACACGCGTTTATAAATTTAATTTAAATACGTAATATACTTTTTCTTATATTTTGAAACATCTTAAAGACTAATAAAAAATGTATGTTCGTTGTAAAATTTTCATTTGAACTAATCTTCCTTCAAAATGCATACATAAGCTTTATAATTTTTCATGGGATTTGAGAACTGACGAGATCAGGTACGAGGTTTTTCGAGCCTGGGCAACGCTGGGCTAATGGGAATAAAATATGGCCAATGCCATATCCCTAATAAAATTAAGAGCCGGGCGCGATCCTTAAATAAGGAACGCCTAGGAATCGGGAGCATGTAAATCAACTTCTCTATGTCCGCTTTTTGGTTAACATTCCGATCCGAGTCAGACAGCTACGAGAGCTTGATCCGTACTCTGGCGGCCGTTGAGCGGTACGTATTAGGGTCGTCCCGCATCCTGGGCAGCCCTGGCCGAGCCTGCCAATGTGATAAAAAAATCGCCACCTCCTCTTCCTCCACAATGATAAGATAGAGGGGACAATTGAATTTATACGCAATTTACTTTCTACGCCTGTTTATGAATACGCAATTTACTTTCTGTACCTGTGTTTACTTCTATACCTGTTTACTGAATACCAAGAGCATACTTAGAAAATTCAGAATCGTGGGTTATAAAGCTCGTGGGTAAGACCTTTTTCCCTCACAACCGAAGAAATAGTGCAAGAAGTTATCGACAGTCAACTAATTGTAAGCCGAACAATAACAGTGTTGCGCAATCTCTGCTATGATGAACGTTGCTGCATCGATATTTACCAAGACATTGGAAAATGGACGAAAAATTAAGCAACAATGATATTATTTTTTGGCTGTATGAATTGATAACGGCATCTCACTTCACGAAACCATGGTGATTGAAAGCCTTTTATATCCACTGTAAGCTTAAAAACTAACATTCAATTGCGTACATACCTCGTGTGGCAGTGCAATCGACATTGGTAAACAGTAGATAGTTGTTAAGTGATTTTAATACTCACCTCATCTATGGTCCGGTGCAAGAATGAAACGATGCTCCCAAGTCCTGAATTCGGGGCTAGACGATCAGTCCGAGCAACCTCTCAGTCAGCTACAACGCGCGTATGCTTTAAAAAAAAAATTATACTACTGATGACGACAATGGATAATAGATAACATTTTCACTTCTTGTCAATGAAGGAGATAATTTTTCAGTTTCTTGATGAAATTCAATAGTTTAATAAAGAAATACACATTTAAAAATTAATGCTTTTTTATATTGATGAGGCATCAGCAGCATCAATTGGTTTTTGCTGCTGTAAAAGATTTGCTTGGATTGCCAATATTCCGGTAAACTGTTGATACTCGCGATATTTCGTTCGCCTTATAACCTTTTTTTCAATATGTTGTTTCTCAGATTGCAGTATGTGAAGAAATTCCAGAAGATATTTTCTTACACCATAAATTTTACTGGCTAACACGAGATACGTGGCACTGATACCATTTGCCACACGCCACCATCATGGTCCCAGTGACCCATCATTAAATTCTAATTGTACATTTACTTGATTTGCGTATTTTGGAGCATTAAAAAGAAAGAAATAAGCTCATGTGCTTGGATTTCAACTTTTAGCAATCGAACACAAATTTAGTTTAGGAAGTGCCCCACAAGCTCGCCCATAAATTTTCGGGAGGCTGCAACCAAGTGCACTTCCGTTCGGGGCTCGAAGTGCAGCCCCTGGACAGCTTGCAGCTTTGTGAGACTTGGCCAAGCCAACTCTTGTCATTCTCCCAGGAGACTATAATGTCTTCAAGGCAATTCTGACCAGTCTCTGATTGCGATCAGTTGGCCAAGCAGACCCAAAATAACTTAAACGCAAGTATAGCAACTCTGAAGCCCAGGCTGAATCGTGCCCAAAATTTTTTTAGGGAAATCAGTTGTAAAAAATAACTTTTTTAAAGCCATGATTAAGGGAGAGAGCATTCCTTAGTCGAAGCAATTTATGGGAACAAGGATCAGATGAAAAATGTATGTTAGCAAGATCATAAGACGCCAATTTAACGGTAGCAGGGATAGAAAACTAATTTTGTGGCAGGTATAGACTGCATGCATGTAATTCTCAGGTAGCAGGGTTAGTATGCTAAAATTGTGGAAACAGCGATACGATGCTAAATTTGTGGCAAAATTTAATGCAAACTGGAATACATACTCCACGAAACATATATACTAAAATTACTAAAAAAATTATGAACCATTTCATTAGAAAAAATTCTCAACCCTGCAAGTTCTTTGAAATGTCCGCATGTCTGTCATATTTTTGAACGAGGTACAGTAATTTTTAACTGCAGAATCATTGCCGAGATGATTGACAGATTATATCCTTGCACTTGTTCACAAGTGGGAAAAAATTCCTGCCCGTCATCACTAACAAGGTGAGGGCCGAAACTTGAGAATGCATTGAAATTATTCATGTTGTAGTCTTGCGCCATTTCTCTGTCTTGAATCCTTAAATGAAAGATCCAGAGAAGCTTGGGCAATGAAGCGTGTAAAAGACAGCAAGAAAATGAAGTATGAAAAAATGTTGCGTGTGAACATAGGTTGCGTTCTAAAAATTTAACGTATAGTTTAACATTAAATGTGTTCCTTCATAAGCCAATGGATTATGGTATAAAAGTACGTAATGAAGGATTGTATCATCCTTCTAATTAGGTTAACCTAATTAGGTTAAGTCAAATTGCGCCAAATAGTCGGCACTAAAGGTTTTGTGTCCAATTCAAATCATTTGCAGCTCGTATTTTGAAAGTTAAAATCTCATACATATCAATTCATGGGTACGACACCGGTGTGCTCTGGACAAGTGCTGTGGCCGGAAGGTTAGATCTCAAATTAATCCTTAAACGTAAGTTTTTTAGCCCGTGTCTGCTCCGATCGGTAGATAACTTTATGTGTTCTCTGGCTTGAAGATAGAGCGCGAGCCAGAGAAGCCATTCATTTCCATTTCATATTATGCTTTCTCAGGTTGAGTTCTTTTGGATGAGTTCTCTGTCCTCACCTTGACTCATTGGATGAGTCTCCGGCTCTCCCCCTGAATCAATTGACGAGTCCACACCCCTCACTCTAAATCACGAGGTCCTGGCCATCACCTCCAGCTATTGAGTGAGTCACGCTGAATTCTGCCACGGGGCCCGATGCGAATCGGTCTTGTCAATATGATATCGCCGCACATTTCAACAAATTACGCAAATAAAATTTATTCGTAAGTTTACCTGGACTTCAAAAAATTAAAATGGGCCAAGAATATTTAATTGTCATTGAATCTAGTTAGATTCAAGTAGGTGAGAAAATTAAAGCTGACAGTGGCAGACGTCATACCCAATGAAAAACTGCAGTTGTACCAACGGGGTTTTATTGATGGCGATCGGCAGACATTATAGGTGGAGCATCGCTGAGGCATCGATGGCGTGCCCGCCTACGCCACACATAAACTGCCGATGTGGGAAACTGTTCTTTTATGAATTACCTTTTAAGGTCGACGTCGCATCGGCGTGCCACCGGTGGCCACCTCCCACAATATATTGCATGGAAATTTTCACATTATTGGAGATATCAGTTCGCTGTGAGCGAGTCATGGTTCAGCCAGAAGCCTTAATTTATACTTATCTCGATTGCAATAAATCTTATTCGGCAATCAGAAGTTAATAACCTTTTTTGTATTTTCGTACTTGAATTAAATTCTTAAACTTGAGAAATCATTTGAAATATTCATGCTCATTGCATTGTCATTTCAATCAGCACAATGTGAAGTTTCATTAGGTTGGGGTACAAACTGTACCTGTGCTAGTGCACGGCGAAAATTTTTAATTTATTTAATTTAAATCTAACTCAATTTTAGTAACCCACTAAATTATAGTTATTTTTTAACAGCCGCACCTGCATTTATTAAATTCTAAAACTATTCAAATAAAGCCCATGTGAAGTGACGCCTATATTGGCACTATTATTTTGAAAGTCATCATTGGCAGCACTCACATCATTTGCCCGCAAGTTTGGATTATGAACACTGCTTGATATGTTCTGCTGACCCATGAACTTTAGTCGAACAAAAGGTGTAAGATGGACTAAAATTTCACTGCGAATTTTTAAATAACCTTGTTCCTTAGAGTGCACTCCATAAAATAACCATGGTACGTTAATAAAAAATTATTTTCAACTAGCTGGTGTCTATTTTAATCCAATAATGATGCTTTTAATTGTCATCGGAAACGTTCTTTTCAGTAATACTCGAATTTTAAAGCGCAAAGAGTGTGGATTGGGGTAGCTTATACGTGTACATCACGCCTGAAATCAGACGGAGATCCTAGATATCAGACTTAAATAACTAATAATAATAATTGCGGTTTCAGAGTTTGTTAGGCCGCAGGCGTGCCGCCAATTCTTAACATTGAAGAACATTCACAGCTTTATGCGGTCTCGAAAAAGCAAGTCACTGCTTTCTATAACTGATTAACTGCCCGGCCTCCTTGCCGATTCTGACCAGAAACTGACGCAGAGAGCTGGAATCAAACCCGCACCTCGCTGCTCCAATTTTGGCACTCTGGGCCTATACTTTCAAAAAAATTAAGAGATCGTAAGTTCATCAGCCAATCATTGACGGCCTTTCAAGCCACTCTTTTAAAAACAGTTAAGAGATCGTAAGTTCATCAGCCAATCATTGACGGCCTTTCAAGCAAAATCCACCAATCATAGACAAGAAAAATGATCGTAAGTACTTACGTTCACTTAGCGAGTTTTGAAAGTATGGCCCCAGGAGCCACTCTAACCACTTGTTCTAACTACCACTTGCCACTCTAACCACTTGTCTAACTCTTACCACTTGTCCGCCCTGCCCGACTTAGCAGAGAACTGGCGTTATGCTCTTTTAAACAAATGATTAATTCAGTGCAGCGAGTCTGAGCAGTTGCAATAACAATAGCATATATTATTCCGAGAGAGGATAAGAGAATACTGATTCAGACCGAGTTATCTTTTATGATGATAACCCTTTTATTCTTCACACCAATTATACGTTTATCTGTGTAGTTTTCGAAAAAGTATAGTAATTCAACAATCCAATTATGAGCAAAATAAATTGAATATGGACGTAGATTATAATATTTTGTTCAGTCATCCAACGAGCGTTCATTCTGTGTTGAGTGTCGCTGTTGAACTTGAACAAATTATACGAAGTTGAGTCTTCACTGTGAACGATTGAGTTACACCGAGACAAAGGGAGAAGAAATATTGTGTTCGTGCGAAACACATTTAGTGATGAAAATTCAGCCACGGTTATAATACAGATAAGTGCAAGTCATTGACAGATTCTAATGGTCTACTAAACAAGCCTTTTGATAGCCACATCAACCATAATTTTCAGTCGTAGCACGATGGACGTAATAACCCTCGATCTACTGACAGTGACTGTCGTCATAAGAGGCCGTACTATAAAAAAGTACGAAATCGTAATTCCGTCAGCCAATCACGGTTCGCTTCTCAAGCTAAAGCCACCAATCACAGATGAGAAATCAGCCCATACGTTAACTTTGGCCGCAGCGTGTATTTAAGCGTGCATTAAAAGTACGGCCGCTGGCCCTTAGATCCGAATATTAATTATAACGGAACTATTACATCTGCAGAAAAAGGAATAATAGTTTAACACACGTGTTATTTATCCTCCATCTTTCAAGTGCACGCAGTTTTAGTCGCTGAAGAAGATGGTCTTGGGCTTCTTATCGCGTCGGGCGTCGGGCCTCAGCTTCCTGCGAGGGCGGGCGTCGTCCTCGACGCTGAAGACGGTCTTCGCCGCCTCAGGCTTGCAGAGGTCGAGTTTGCCGTCGAAGTAAAGGCTGTTGATTTGCTGCAGTAACTGCCCCACCTGCTCGTTATTACTGCAGTTAATATCAGAATGAGGAAATAGTGCAATAAATTAACGCTGTTGATTTGCTGCAGTATCTGCATGCCCCACCTGCTCGATTGCCGATATGAGTAAATCATAATTATTAATCAATACTATTACGAAGAAATTTTTTAAACAAAAATTGGTTCTGTAACGTATTTTTAAAACAAACCGTGTAAAAGACAGAAATCAAACCGAGCCAGTTTTCTTTGTACCTTGTTAGAAGGGTAACTTTGAATCTATCAAATAGATTATTCGTAATTACTTTTATTTGCTGAATTACTTTTAATATGGGGCTCTCTCTAGATCCATCGACTAACCACATCCCCACCAAGAAGAATAAAAATCAATATATTATAAAAATATATATATATATATATATGTATAATATAATTATTTTTAAACTTTGGCAGAATTTTCTTGTTTATATGCGCACAATTTATAATCAGAGAATGCATTATAATTTTATTATATATTTATCGCTGAAGAGGATGGTCTAGGGAGTCTTATTCCATCGGGCATAGGACCTCAGCTTCCTGGAAGGCGAGCGTCGTCGTTAAACAGGCTCACTGAAACCCATGATAATGTCAAACTCCAGACTATATGTAGCAACGACCACTGCAACAAAGGATTTCTCCATGAGGCCGGTGTAGTCTATAAATTTTGCTTCAAAAAAGGTTGTAGACTTCTTCATCATTTGAACTAGATTGGAGGAATTGGACTAACAACTGTGACATTGAGCATTACAAACAAGCAACTTCATATCATGATCATTGATGAAATAAAAAAAGCTTGGTTACGCTTTTCACAACAAGGTCAAACTCCGGACTATACGCAATAATGGACCCTGCAAAAAAGCGGGAGCTCTCCAAAAGGCCGGTATAGTTCATAAATTTTGCTTCAAAGTAGGTTGTAGACTTCTTCATCATTTGTTCTACATTGGAGTAATTGGACTAACAACTGCGATAATGAGTATTACAAACAACACCTTCATCTCAAGATCATCGATGAATTCAATTTACTTGGCGACACCCTTGACAACAACATCAAACTCCGGACTATACGAAACAATGGCCCCTGCCAAAAAGTGGAAGTTCTCCAAGAGGCCAGTGTAGTTTATAAATTTTTCATAAAAGAAGGTTGTAGACTTCTACATCATTTGGACTACATTGGAATAATTGGACTAACAACCACAAAATTAATTCCCTTTTTGTTGGAATGGTGAGTGTGGGAGGCCTTTAAAAAAACACGACATTGAGACCGTCTCACCTGCCATCTGCAACCTGGAGGGCAGAGAAACCATCTGAGACAAACTCACCAGACCGTCGCTCGCACCGTGCTGGAGAAACCCACCAGCATCATCATGCAGAGGTGCACAACATTAACCAACCAACGATTCCTAGAACCCTCTCAACCCCCTACCGCCTGACATGAGTAACCGGAGCAATATTGTCACAAGCCTACTTCCCAAAAATGATACGTTCTAGTGAGCACAAAATGACGTGCACTGATGGTTGCCGCCATGCACGACAACTTTAAAATGTTCTCTGTTGCATACAAACGTCCTCAGGTTGCTACACTAAAATAGTTTACTTATAATTCAAGTTGAAAGTTATGCTCCCGGAGAGTGACATACGGCGGTAGAGGGTTAATTTGGAATTGGACCCCAGCTATCTATTTCCAAACTACCGGATTTGTCTAAAAATTTGAGATAGTTTGCGGAGGGACTTTCTGGCTCGAAATTTTTGTGTTGTATCCTATTTACGGGTATTGTGTACTTACATCCAATAAAATTTCATTATTCAATGCTTTTCTTAACTTGAAAATGAATGTTGCTACATTTGAAACGTCGTTAATAAAATATTATTATTTGCTAAATCTGACATTTGATCTACCAATGTCATCTAAAGAATTGTTAAACTCCCTAAAAATTATAATGCATTCTCTGATCATAAATTGTACGCGTATAATATGATACGCTATGCCGTATAGACGATATAAAATGAGACGTATATTATGATAGCATCATAATATATTAAAAATCTCACGAAGGTAGAATTCAACTACTAGCAACGAAAAAATATTCAGTTAGAGGCGAGTATCTTGACAACAGTATCACTAATAACGCCATAACAACACCAATTGCATAAATAATAAACAAACTGCGGACATGGGAATAGCTTAGCAGCCTTGTTGGTACATTTGGCCTTACCCAGTTTACTATACATCGCAGTAATTTAAATGACATTTTTACATACCCTTTTTAGCGTTTTAGCGCACTCTCTCATTTATGGAAAAAATGCACTATTGTGCTCGCCATGTCCGTCTGTTTGTCTGTCTGTCTGTCCGTCCGTCCGTGACGTCAAGTTTTCGTCGACGAGAAAATGCGCTCTCTGTCACTCACTGCAGTGAGTACTGAGTTATATTTTTTTCAATTTTCGGATTAAATTGCAATTGAACACTAACCTTATCGGGAAAATCTCGTTCGCTCTGTAGGCCCTCTCGCTCCTTCTTGTTCAAGTTCACTTTGACTTGGTTGACGGCATTGGGCTGCAGCACCAGGGTCTTCTTGAAATGCTTCCACATGTAGTCCAGGACGTCATAAGTGTTCTCTCTCTTACTCAGATCAACTTTAATTTCTTTGAAAGCTTTCAAGATGATAGCGAGCATAATGTTGACGAGAACCATGCTGTTCAGCACCGAGAAGATGAAGAACAGGAGGGGTGACAGCGAGTTTGCCTGTTGCATTTCATCGAAGTCGAATTTGCCGAGCATCATTGAGAAGCTGGTCTGAGCTGTGGAGAGCATTGAAGTGAACTCTGGTAGATACACGAATAAAATGAAATAGAAGAGGCAGCAAAAGGCAAAGAATATGATAATAAATGCGATAAGGAAATACGACAGCTCTTCCCAGCACAGGGAAATGGTAAGCGCCAGCACGTCCATTCTTTTGTTGAACTGCATGAGTTTGATGAGTTTGAGCACCGATACAAACATGATCAGGCCCAGAATGCACGTATAAAATTGATCAACCAATACCGGATAGTCCATTCGCAAGTAAGCGTTGCCTTTTGTTCGATTAAACTCATCCGCCACGGCAAGAGTGAGAAGAAGCTTGTAAATGTACAAGGCGATCTCTAGCCAAGAAAGTAGAACTAAAGAAAGTTCCGCAAGGTTCCAGTACTGGTAAAAGTACCCGCATCTTTGTTTTTTTATCTCCCACAATTGCCTGAAAGTGAAGAAGACTGTTGATACGACGAACATTAGCTCGCAGAAAAATACGACGTTATCCTTGGCGTTGCTCTCCAGCCGCAGAAGTCGAACAGGTTCGAACCTCCATTTGGTGACGATACCGCCTCCTTCACTCACCTCAAAGCAAATCATACACGTCATGAATAAGTTCACATTGGCGTTGTATACGGAGAACTCCAAGAACACCGCTCGTGTACGCTTGTCAATCCAATGCACTTTTTGGAGCTGATCCAGCCTCTCGTTGACGTCAGCTTCATATCCATCAAGTCTGATAACGTATCCGCCGCCACTATAAGTTCCCAGACGGCCCACGGTGGTTAAGGTCTTTAGTTGGCTCGCTGTTTGATACTTAAACTCTGGGAAGTTACACGCGGCATCAGACGCTTCACCGAGCACCCAATTTGCACAGTAATCGTGATCGTCTTCCATGTGCACGCCTCGAATACCCGTGCAGCTTCGATTTCTCTTGTTATTTGCGTGTGGAACCGAATTCATTGGGTCGGGCACCGAGCACACAAAGCGGGCATTGCGTATCTGCCGCAGGATGGGGTATCCTACCATGCGGTTGGCTCGGTCATCCAGGAAGCCGCGAAGACCGTAGGGCGGATCATTGTTGTACCACCGCTGTGCTCGAGTTGTATTCATGATCAAGTTTTTGGCGTAGTGCCAAAAATGGTCCGTGCTTCGCAGCTGCAATGAAAATATGTTAGAAAAATTAACAAATTTTGATTGATACAAGAAAATCTATATGAACTCCTGAACTTGGTCTTAGTGAAACCCAAGCTACTAAACCAAGGTTTCGATTCAGGTCAGAAAATTATTGAAAATTCCTCTACCGGGGTTATCATTGATAAATTATGGAGCAAGTGCTTTGAAACGTAACGAGTTCTATCCATTTTATGTCATAATAACACCACAAGTAGAAGAATTTTTTATTCTCCATTAACATTGTAAATGAGACCCAAAGTAATGCATTTTCACAATGAAAAATCAATATACTTTTTGATTTTAAATTTTACGAGACAGCCCACCAATTCATTGTTGAATGATTAACCAGTGCTATCTTCTGTTCAGTTTCATGATATACGTGCATTAATAAGTCCATTAGTCAACATCAGTAAGGACACATCAGTAAGGCAACATCAGTAAAATAACGTTCGCAGTTCGAAATACCTCGTTTGGGAAGACTAAGGTAGCATTAGTATTCGAATCAATGACACGGGTCGCTTGAAATAATTTATCGTTTAAGAAGGTCGCACTGAAGTGTTGTTGCAGCAAGAATGCGTTAATGTCCGTCTTGTCGTTGACGATGATAAACAGCACGGCAAGGAACAGACAATAAACGAAAATTCCACGTACAATGAATTTCATGTCTCGATCTTTGGTGAGCTGAACACTCAGCTTCTTCGTCGCGTCATCGTCGTGAGTTACACCAAAAACTCTGTGCACGTCCCTCACAGTGGAAGGATCTAAGGGACTCATCAAAGCCCATTCTTCGTCTTCTTGTAGCATGGGAAGTTCCTCATCGCAGTCGATGTCCTCAACAGAGTGGTTTGGAACACAGCAAATGCTGCCGAAACATGAGACCAACACTACCTTCAGCCATTGGCTTATCAGAATCGACACCAAGAAGGTTGTGAAGAACGAAGAGAACCATTTTACGGTCGTTATTTCTCCCCAGGTGATGCCATAACTCCATACCATGAACACGGATCCCGTCATTGCTGCAACACAAACAATCCATCCAAGTGGCCTTGTCCACCAAGGGAGACATTTTACGACAGGTTTAATTTTAGGTTTCGCTTTCCATCCAGGCTTTGTGATAACCTTTGATTTCTCTGAAGCATTTTTCCAAGTTAATCCAGTTTTCTGCAATTGAAGTTCACGTTGTTTTTCGATGGCGTCCAAAGCTTTACATCTAACATACTTCCTAGGGCGAGCTCGCTTGAAAATGGCCCCAAGCAACGTTGAGAACGGTAGGACGAAAATGATCACCGCAAGGCCTTTGATCATTTGAGACAGAGCGATTGGAACAGGACCAATGTAGGCATATGCATCAATGGGAGATTCACCTTCATTCTCGTAGTACATTGCATGCAGAAGCATGGAAACAAATAAAAACGTTGCGCAAACTATGATCCTTTCTTTTCGACAGTACCGGGACCCAGTGGGGCGTAAGAAAACCGACATCCATATATGGTCTTGGTTGGCATTTCTATTTGTAATGTTGTACATCCTTTGAGAAAAAGTGGTCATGTCTTCGTTGTTGTTGGCGCACAAGAAAGTCCGGTCTGCCAAGCCGTCTCCGCGGTTGAGGGCAAGCCAGGCATTCGTTTCGAAAGTGTACTGCTTAGACTTTTGGAGGTCTCTGAAAACGACCCGTTCAAGCTGCCAGCTGTCGTACGGCAACCTTCCTTTATTGTCAATGAAAACCCGCAAGTAGTGCAGAGAACCGAGAGGTCTAGCCGTTGTCATCACAAATGTGTTCCTGTCGTATCGGCGATAAAGGTTCGAGTTAGCTTTAGGCAGGAAACGAACTTCTGTTTCGTCATAATCACCTGACGCCATGAAGTATATCTGAGATTCACATGGAGCATCCGAGTCAGGACCGGTGAAGAAAGTAACTTCGTAAATGTATTTGTCTTCAGGCTTGTTATCTGGCAAGGGAAGAACACCACTCCTTTCAATATCTTTTTTGTCCTTGTAGTGACCCCATATCATAGCTATGATAAACAAGACAAAAAGTAAAATCAGAGTGACATAGAGAGTAGAATTATCTACGAAGCCCATGTTCGCTATTATAAAATCAAAATCAATTTCATGCACATTTGGCAAAAATCCTGATCCAAACTGGGAAAGATGGCTAGTCCCGCATTTTGTGTGCGTTGCATTGGCGGAAATCACTTTCAAACCCGCGGGTGACCACGTGAGTGACGGTTCATCGTAGTAGTAGCATCCTAAGACCGTGATTTTCAATTCGTAGTTTGAGGAAAATTTGGGATCTAGATCTTTTCGAGTAAAATTGGATGAATGGGCATTATTGAGGAGTTTTCCAATAGCGGCCACAAATCGACCAGTCCTGTTGTTGTTCATGTCAGAATCGATGAAGAGTGTACGAGAATCATCAATAAAGGGCAGCTCTTCTACTAAGCGGCTGAAGAGGAACTTTCCAGGAACCGGGAACATTTCATGAGCGACGAGAATAACGAGGCGCGAGGCATTAGATGAGGGTTTAATATTTATCATAAAAGCGGCTTGGGGCGAAGTGATGTTGAAATAATGGAAGACCAGAGGTATGGCTCTGTTCATGTTGTCACTGGCATTCACTTTCATAGCGTCCAAATGTACATCGGAGTCCCGGGGAATTACTATATTTATCAAATTTGTGGCGTTCGAGATGTTCACTGGCTTATCATTACTGGTTACTTCAAGTTCGATTATTTTCGAGTGTCTTGCCAAGAAAACTCGAGATTTGGGATGAAAGTGCGTGATGACGGGCCATGTCAGAAACATTAATACAAATTCTTCCCTACAAAACGAATCTTTATTCATGAACTTAGAGGGACAAAAGTTTTCTGGCAGGATGACTGAACTTTGCTGGTCAACGGGAGAAAATATGGTTTTTCCTTTTTTCAATGTTTCTTCCCGAATTTTTCCAATATAAATTGACGCCCCTGCACTAGATCGTGTTTCAAACGATTGACCCGCAACTAGTTTAGAAGAAACTTGGGTATTAAGAGACTCGACAACAACTTTCATCCGATTTAGTTGACTTATACTCTGCCTCATGGTGTTCTCCATTATGCTTTGCTTGTAAACGTCATCCAAGTTGTCCGGAACAACCATGTTTGGGTCATCAGGTATTGCCCCATCGTAGTCGAGAGTCCCTCTGGTAGCAGCCTGTATATCTCTCGGCGGCAAGAGTTCATCGGTTTCTAAGACTCCATTAATACCCGTCATTAGAGCTGTCATCACTTCGAGTGCACTCTTTGCAAACGGCTCATATTCAGAAGCTGAAACCACGGAAACATTTGGTAGGTATCCAGAAATCTTTTCTAGGGTTGAAAGGCAATTTTCTCGAGCGTCGATACCAACGGTCATGGGACCAACTTTACTGCCACCAATGAGGGACACTGTGCTAAACAACACATTGGAGTACACGTTGACTTCTTCGATGTTGCTTGGTGGGACAGAATTCTTTAAGAATTGTAGTTGTTGTGACTTAGCATCCGATAATGCGGCAAGAATCAATTTCTGTTCATTTAGACTTTTATTCAGAAATGCGTCGTCCGAGATGTCGCTCCAGTTGGCGTTGGCCATGAGGGAGTTAGATGCCTTTATGAACATCGATAGTTGAATAGAATCACCCGCCATGGCAAGAACAGCTAAAGTTCCAGTCGTGTTGAATGCATCAACCATTTCTTTGCTCGGCATGATAGTCGTGACGTTACCGATAAAGTACAGGGTGCACGCGCCGAACGAGTCAGAGACCTCGACGTACAAGCTGAAATTCCCATAAGGTAAAACTGCAGACAATTTGACTTGTTGCGTACTGGCCATTGCTGCTTTGACGATCTTCCCGTCAGTTGTGTGTTCCAAATAATAGAAATTGTAGGCGGCGATACCTATTCCCTCAGGGTCCTGCCACTTATCACATGATACCGTGAAGGTGGACAGGAGGCAGTAAGTACCGTTGTCGGATGCAATACTACACGTGCCGCCGGTGGGTGGTTTGTTTATCTTGATCGTGATTTGGGAATATCTGAAAGAAAATAGTCTTGAATGAAAGCAGGACTAACGTCAGAATAGTTTACACGTGGTTCCGATCGGTAAATGTCCGTGGATTATCGTAAATTAATGCAATTTACCATTCAAAATTAAATTAACCATCCAGTTTTTATCATTTTTTAATAAAATTTATACATCCGTTTATTATATCATCATAATAGTTTATAATATTATAAATTTGTTGCAGGAATTTACCCGATCCGATTATCAATGGTGAAGATGGTGAGGCGAACGGTGAATTTTTCCGATGATGGATTAAGTACAAACATCGATGGTGAAATGATGAAAATCTCTGCATCGATCCCTGACTCGTAGCCTGAAAACAGTGTTCTCTTTTATATCTATTTTCGTTATTTGTTGTTTATTGTAGTTAAAAATTTGTATATTTAGGGTAGAGCCCTTCATTTAAACATAATAAACAGAAAGCTTGAGAGATTAAACTCAAAAGAAGTTCTCAACAAAACTGGCATTATTTTTAACCAAACATGTAGTTAAAAATTGAAGAATTGTCCTGTGAGCAGGAGTTTAATCTAGGGATCAGTTTAAACTTATATTTAAATTAATTACTATAAGTAAAATGCACTCTGTTAGAATACAATAATCCCTCGCTATATCGAGCTGCATCTACGGCGGCTTCACTTCACGGTTACGTTCAATATTAACTAAAATATCAATAAAAGTTAGCTAAAATGTAGTCGAAACTAACAAACGACAAAAAAATTAATGAAAAACGAGAGAAAAATTAATCGAAACCAAACACGATAGTCAAAGTTCCGTATAAATGGAAAAACAAGTTAATGAGACTGCAGCATGAATGGTAGGATTAATTGATAAAGTAGAATTAGCAGCACTAGCCTATGTGCAATACTTTAATTCTATATAAGGTTCTACTTTAATTCAAGTAGGTTCTATTTTTACTCAACTTCAATTTTTTTCAACTTCATTGCTCTTTTTCAACTCTACAGATCTACAACTTTAGCTCTAATAGTTCTACTTCAGCTCTAATAGTTCTACTTCAGCTCATAATAGTTCTACTTTAATTCACTTTGCTTGCAAGTCGTCACGGTGGAGTTGCAGTTCGGTTCGTCCATCACAATCGATTCGTTCTCTCTGTGGAAAATGCAATGCAAAAATGTGAGTCCTAGTTTAGTTGATTAGGAATTGACTTTTAAACCCTCACAGTTTGTGGAAGCCAAGAAATCTTTGCAATTTTCAAATTTTTCATGACCGAAGCGTTATAAAATATATCCAAATATTCAAAACTTAATAATTCTATTATTGTTCGTGACCGGAAATTTTTGTGATTTTCAAGACCAAGAAATTTGTCTTGCACAAAATGTCCGAGCACGAAGAATTCTGTATTTTCAGGATTTTCTAACACAATAAACTCATTAGTATTCGACTCAATGTGCAATTTTCGAATTCATCAGTTTTGGATAGCAAAACAGTAGTTTATTTCTTGCCGCATTTGAATGTTCAATTCTGTTGAATTTCGTACGTAGGTGACCCTCTGTAGAATATTTGAATTACAACAATAATTTGGGTGCGTTTACGGTTTTTCAAATTTGTTATACATATCTTACACGAGAATGTTATCATCCGTTTTCCTTCACAGTTCAATTAATGAAGAAGTTTTTTTTCTTTCCTTACTGCGGATATTTATTCATTCACACGAAATAACTGTTCCGTGTTCACTACATATGAAAGAACCTAATCTGCGTAAGCCAGAAACCATCAAATATTTTCTCATACCATTTCATGAAAAAAACAAGGCCAGTAAAAAAATATATAAAAGGGTAGTTAATTCAATATTCATAATAACCGTGATTAGCCCAACCCACTAATATTCCAGGGAGGGGGCGGAGGATAAAAAAAATTGAGACCAGGTAAAGTTTGATTATAAAATTGAAACATTACTCTGGTGTCTTTAAACCTTATTAATAATAAGTGGTTTGAAATTTCAATTTTTTTAATTGTCAACGGAAGAAGTAGGAAGTGTAATGTCAAAGAGTGGGAAGTGTAATGTTAAAGAAGGTATTATGTTAAATGTCGGTCTGAACGGGTTCTTCCTTGATCATCGTAATTTACTTTAATAATAATTAACTGGTCTCGGGATTCTCAAATTCCAATGACTAATCTATTCCGGACAAAGCCAAGTTACTTTCTAGTAATTATATATCATATCTGTACGCATTATATATCACTATTGTACGCACTCCTTCCTAACTTCTCAGCTGTAGTAGAGGCTGGAGGAACAGTAGGCACTGCAGCTGCCAACGAGGGTAAGGCGAAGCGCTGAGTTGCGTGCTGGTAATTATATATCATATATGTTCCCATTATTTATCATATTTGTACGCATTATATATCACTATTTTACGCACTCCTTCCTAACTTCCCAGTTGTAGTAGAGGCTGGAGGAGCAGTAGGCGCTGCAGCTGCCAACGAGGGTAAGGCGAAGCGCCGGGTTCACCAAGAGACCGTCGCTCTGGGCTAAGCAAAGTCCAGGCACCGCACACCTACAATGATATTTTAATTAATTAATTAAGTGTTGTGGAAACTGCACGCGAATAGAATAATGGAAATGGAATGTAAATACTGACCTTGAAACCTGCTACTGGTATGAATAAAAGCCGAAAGTGAAAAAAATTAATTCGTTCGTTTGTAACCAAAAAGAAGGATTATAGGCAAACAGTTCCTTCAGAAAACCTGAGAACCTAGCGGTTGGGCCACATTAGAAAGACAAGACATACCGTATGGCCACCTCAGGCGGCGGTGGGGCCGCATTAGACAGACAATTGTACATACCGTATGGCCACCTCAGGCGGCGGTGGGGCCACATTAGACAGACAATACATACCGTATGACCACCTCAGGCGGCAGTTGGGTCACATTAGACAGACAAGACATGCCGTATGGCCTCCTCGGGTGGTGGTTGGGTCACATTAGACAGAGAAGACATACCGTATGGCCACCTCGGGCGGCGGTTGGGTCACATTAGGCAGACAAGACATACCGTATGGCCACTTCGGGCGGCGGTTGGGTCACATTAGACAGACAATACATACCGTGTGGCCACCTCGGGTGGTGGTTGGGTCACATTAGACAGACAAGACATACCGTATGGCCACCTCGGGTGGTGGTTGGGTCACATTAGACAGAGAAGACATACCGTATGGCCACCTCAGGCGGCGGTTGGGTCACATTAGACAGACAAGACATACCGTATGGCCACCTCGGGTGGTGGTTGGGTCACATTAGACAGAGAAGACATACCGTATGGCCACCTCAGGCNACGTTAAGATCAAAGTTCAACCACTACGTAGGAATCAAACGTAGCTTAATCATGCTGATCTGCACGTATGGGTCATCAGGGTCTGTACTAATCATTATGTCGGGATGCTGACCGGCGCGATGGGGTAGTCGGGGTCGGTTCTAATCAATATGTCCGCATGCTGACCGGCGCTTAGGGGTCGTCGGGGTCGGTACTAATCATTATGTCCACATGCTGAACGGCGCGATGGGGTCGTCGGGGTCTGTACTAATCAATATGTCCGCATGCTGACCGGCGCGATGGAGTCGTCGGGGTCGGTACTAATCATTATGTCCGCATGCTGACCGGTACGTAGGGGTCGTAGGGGTCGGTGCTCGCAGTGCCGGGGTTGAGGTCGAGGCTCTGCATGTACGCGCGCCTCGTGCTCGTGATGCCGCCTGGCAGGATGGCAGCGCTCAGGTTACTCTGCGGAATATTTTCAATTAAAATGTATCCTTCGTATGAATAAAATTTTGAACATTTCAAGATAAATTTCTTCTCCTTTTCAACACAACGAGGAAAGGGAAAATATTGAAGCTTTTTTCCGGAAAATGATGAAAACGTGGACTCTTCAGGCGAGGAGTTCACCTCAGTGTCTCAGATGGCGGGCAAATATTCCGCTGATGATTTCGCTGGTTCTCAATTCAAGAATAGGAATAATGTTCAATGTAGGAATAATGTGAGTTATTTAATAAACAGGGTTTTAATTCCAACCCTTGCCCTCATTGAAAAAGCTGTCATGACCGTCACCGACAACTGCATGTGCATTCAGCAAGTCTGACAAACAATTAGTCGTGCGCCAAAATGTTTGTGAACCCGTTTTGGGAAATTATTAAGATTATGGCCGTGTGGGCGAATGCCACTTGCAGGATGCCACTTGTCACTTGCAAGTGGCAAGAATAATGCGACTTGCATGGATGATCTGGAGAAACGAGTAATGCAAGAATGATTCAAGTGTATAATGTAAACAAAATCCTCGCTGATATTGGGTACCTGATTTTAATTTCTGTAGGTTACTCGTCATTGTTGTTTATATTAAAAGTTTCTGAATGTGATCAATCCAATCAGGACGCCTATAAATATGATCTATCAATATTAAATTACTATAGTAACCATCTCTTACAGCGATGATCTGATACAACAAGTAAGACGGTAATCATTGGAACTCAAAATACAATTGATAGACACAAAACAAAAGGAAGACAATTGTCACCAGCATTGATATCCTGATTATAGATGCATGAATGCTATCTATTTTATACCTAAATTGATAGTAAGAATGTCGTCACTTACACGGATGATCTGATAGGTGTAGTCGCTCCTGATGAGGAATGTCGTCACTTACACGAATGATCTGATAGGTGTAGT